GCAACGATGCCAAGCTGTAGCTTTAATGGGTACTGCCAATAAGGTTCATTCTCATCACTTTCTCTTTCCATTTTAACCCCTCTGCACTGACAGGTCAAGAAAGAGGAGACTTCAAACCAGTTACCCAAAAAATCACTTATGAAAGGCAGGAATTTTTCTACCTTTAGAGTGGTAGAGAATACCCCATCCTCCTAAAACCATCCCATTTTTCCTTCACTTGTAATGATCCTAATGAGAAAGCAGAAAACATGTTCACAGATGTTACAAGACTAGTTCTCATTGTCATGCGGAGAAAGGGGAACTAGCTGCCCCACTGGAACATGCAAAACAACAGCAAACTAAAACTTTATCACAAAGCATAACATTGGACATTATGGGGCTATTGATACTATCTGAAGTAAACCATGAAATCTTCCCTTGCAGGAACCTTACAGGGTCTCAGGAAAAACAGAGCTACTGTGTTTAAAATGGTGAGAGAAACATGCTGCGGAGATGTGGGCACAGAGTGAACCACTGGGTGTTCGAGTACATCCACATCTTTTACTCAACAGACATGAGGTTTGGAAAACAGCTCTGAAAAGCACAAGGTCATACCCACGCAGGGTCAGGTATTGCTAGCTTCATAACACATTTCCAATGCAAGAACTGGTTCCAAGTTTCCCTTCATAAGCAGATTGGAGCACATTATAGAGATGTAAGACCTCTATGTTAGGCACTAGCTACTGTCATATAGCAAAACTGGTTTTATGCATCTATCCTGTAGCCATCACCCACAACCCAGAGCTCTATAGCTCAATACAGGACTGAGACTTTTTTCAAAGTTTCAGTTTGGATCCAAAGGTCCAGTTTAGGACCAACCTCTAGTCACTCACCTCCTCCTGCACCAACACAGATGGATCTTTACAATGAGCAAGCAGTACAACTGTATCTAAACATGAAGAGGGTTTAACAAGAAAAAAAGTCATAAGCAAGAAGGCTTTTTCTGGACAAGGGTAATGTAGGTATATTCTTTTTAAACATGCTACATCCAACTCCAGCAGGACAACAGCTACCAAATGCTTCCACCCACCTGGGTTACTAGGAGAAAAAAGTCCTGCCCATGTCACTCACAGCCAAGCACCACATAGCAATTACTGACCACTGTGCCGGCACAAAATATAAAGTGCACACATGGCCACTGCTTTTGTGTGAGTAGTGTACAAGGCAGCTCATTGTTCTTGAAAGCTTTCTCTGTCTCCATAATGCAACAGCAGGAGCTGATTTTGACTTTGCATGTGTACACTTGTTGAACTTACAGAAAATGCGAAAACATGAAATACAGCAAAAGGCGGCCTTCTGTAAGTGGAAGGTTCTCTTCAGAAAACTGACTTATCATGACGACAGAGGTGATTGTTTGCTTATGCTGTTGTGCTCCCATCACATCCTCAAATGATCCCACCCCATCCCAGCTGTGCAGTCATGTTGTGACCGATAAAATAAGGCCTGTCAGGCCATTTCAGATTCAGACTATCCTTATTATTAAGCCCTGCGGATATTGTGTCTGTTAGATAGACCAGTGGTTTCACAGGAACTGCATGGGTTATCTTGCTCTAGTGTAACCACAGTGCCAACCACAAAGAAAATATTTCCGCCCACATAAATATTTAATACAAGCATTTTCTTCATGTAGAAGGAAGGATAGCAGGATCCCTGTGAGATTATCCTGAAGCACATTAACTATGGCAGTAGCAACTCACTTCAGTAGAGGTTGTCCATACCTGCTGTCTCTCAGAGGCAAGACTTATCAATATAAGTTTTATAACCTTATACAGGGTGAGTTTACTGAAGTCAGAAAAGAGATATAAGGATTCCTTTTAGCATGACCTATCCACATCTTGGGTCAGATCCCAGTGAAAAAAAAATGTTCTCCCTTTTCAGTCATAAATTATGCGCTTAATTATCCAAATGTCAAGCTGTGCTTGCAAATAATTAGGAAGGTCAGATCTGAGAGAGACAGAACTTTAAAAGCCAGTTGCAGAAGCCAGTCCTTCCCACGGCAGACATGTGAGTACATTACAGTTAGAACTCACTAACACTTCTTGCAAGTTGCTTCTACAAGGGCCATGAACAAGGAATGAACAAAGGGTCTTTTCTATGCACTTGCAGATAGACATCATTTCAATTCCAGCAGTTTCCTATGTGAATATCTAACATATGGAGCAGGAGGTAATCAACTGTCTCTCACTATGGAGAATTATTCAGACTCCTCATGATCAACTACCTTTTACATTCAGGACAACCTCAACCCGGAGTAAAACCAACAGAGCGTGGAACAGGGAATGGGTTAAGGCCCTGGGTGTTTTCTTTGAAGTATTAGTCACAGGAGGAAATCACTAAGTCCATATTGGATTGCAAAGGGCTTCATGCAGGGACGATGTGCCAAAGTATCATTGCTGTGAGCAGAGACACACTGAATTAAATTCTTAACGGGAATAAGTATTAGAGTGAAAGGGAGATTCACCCTGAATTTGCCTCTGTTGTTTTTTGTTGGTTTGGGGTTTTTTTACTACAAATAGGCTGGCTTCAACTTCTCAGACTCAAAAGAACTCTTTAGACTTCAGCATGATTTGGATGGAGGTCAAGGCACTTACAAAAGACATGAGCCTACAATAGACAAACACATACTCTTCCTGACTTCTTCTCCTGTTGGCATGATGGACCTAGAAGCAACACAGATGCATTTGGCCAGATGCACTGACTTTGGCAGTGGGGACCCAGCCATAGTCACCACCTTGGTATAAGCCTGGGGAATCAGGACTGTTCTGTGCATCCTGCACAGACACCCAGCACTGATGGACCCAGAAGCAACTGGGAAAACCACTGGGATAAAGATTGGATGCACTGTATGTCAGGGCTGCTAAAAAGCCCCAGATCTTCCACACAGAGATTTCACATTTGTTTTGCCAAGCAAACACCATGACACTCATCAGCTGATAACAGTAAGGCTACAACATGAAGATTCCCAACCCTGATGTCACCAAAAGATACCAGCTTCCCTGGCTGGATAAAATCAAGCCAACAGGTCCTGCAGCAAACTGCTTCACATCTCCAGAAAACAGAGGTGCAATTGCTTGCTGCTCAATGCTGTTCTTACTTTCTTTTATTATCACGGGGAGGCAGCACTCCTGGTTCTTCTACCAGCACGAATTTCTCCTGCTCCCTACCAAAGTAGGTCACTGCATGATGTTCTCTACATCTCTAATAATCCACTAATTTTCTGTGTAACTCTCCTATTCTCTCCAGGTTGTTTCTTGCTCCCACTGAACTCAAAACCCACCCTATTTGATAGCAAGAGCAGCAGCAGGCCCCAGCTGCCGCAGCCCAAGCACTAGCTGCGCCAGCCACTCTACATTCCTGAAGAAGTAGCCGTGGAGCATGCCATCGCACAGAGGTGCATAGGTTGCCTCTGCAGAGCAGAATTGGCACCCTAAACAGGACTGTGTCTGGGGCATTTCTCCTCCAGCATCAGCTCTACTTACTCTCACCCAGAAAGAGCAAGTGAGGTCTCAGTGAATGCAAAACAAAAATTCCGTTTCCCAGGTGCTTTCAGAAGCCCTATGATTGACTGAAGGGATTTCATTGTGCCTGAAAGTAAGAATAACATCCCTTCACCAAGGAAAAGGCACTACCTTTTACCATTTCATGTTCAAATAGTTGCCACCGCTGCTTTCATTAAACCTCCAAGCTTATTGGAGCTTAAATGCTAACCCATGAGAAAAGCCCAGAATGCAGAAACATGGCATGAAGACACTACAGCTTTAATCCTTCATATGATTAGGTTGTTTAAATTTGATGAGATAGAAGAAAAAATAAAGGAGACACATGAAAAGACACCTGGTTATATCACCTCAGCAGTTCCATGAGTGTCTTTTCTTGTACTATTTTCTTCCCTTTCTTTTTTTAACATTTCTAGGGAATCTCAAGTGAGTCAAAATGTCCTTTACTCTCACGCACAAGAGGAGCTGCAAAACATGTCACAGAAGTTACATCTTTGAAGAGCCAGAAACAAAAACATATTCTGCTGCAGCATTAAACATAAATTACACAGCACAAACCCTGAGCTTTCCCCTAGAGCTGGCACCTTGCTTTTCTTGCTACCAGACATGCAAGCACTACTTGGATGTGTTTGGTGCACCCCTGTCATCCATTCTCCAGGAAAAAAAATTAACTCGGGGCAGAAGAAGTTCATTTAACAAATGAACAACAGAGAGAAGGAACCGGGTGAGAAATGCTAGCGTCAGATATGGGAAAACGAGAAATCAAAAGGGAAGTATTGTGCAAAGTGCTTTGAGTGCCTAGGAGCAGTGAAGGAAAGTTGAGCAAGACTGAAAAGCAGGAAGAAACATGTAGGCTCTATGTGTGCATGTACTGGGAGAGGAAACAGATGATCGCAAAAGACACACAAACATTTGTCAAAAAGAACAACTTGAACTCCCTAATTTTATTTTCTTTTTATAACTTTTCAATTCCCCTCCCCACCATGTGTTTCTCTATGTGCTTGACTGGAACACTCAGTCCAAAACCTGAGTGCTTGCACCTCACATTTATTTATGTGACCCTTTTCTCATAGATGCCGGGCATACAACTTTCCCTAATATTAGACAGAGGTTGTTCATTATCTGTAAAACCATTGCTTTTCCAATTAAACTGAATGTAGTTGTTCATCTCTGAAAATTTAACCTAGGGGTTTTCATTCCACCCCTCACCAATAAAATGGATACAGTGAAGAGGTTCTTCAGGGACAAGTACAGCAGTGGGGGAAAAAAATAGCAGGATTTATCACATCCTTCCTCTCTTTTTAATTAGGGAAAAATGGAGGAAAGACACTGGAAGCAAAATCAATTTGCTGCTCTTGATTTGGCTTTTTGTTTAGTGACAATCTGACTCCTAAGACCAAATTATCTCTGGGGAAATAATTTCACTTACTTCAAGGCAATTTCTCCAATAGACAAGATGCTTACCTTTCTTTCTGAGGTCTGTATGTTTCCTCTCTTTGTTCTCTGAAATATCTTTTATTTCAGGGCTTTTCTCCATTGGCCCTTCAAATGAGATCTTCAAAGTGAGGAGCATTTTCTCTGTACAACTAAGCTTCTCTCCATACCTATAACAAGTGTTAAAACAAATTAGAAATTACTTTATCTGCAAAACAACGGGGGAAAGACATTTTGGATTATGGGGCAGCATTCTGATGAGAAGAAAGAACAAGGGACACACACTGATTGATTTGAAGTCTATGTGACAGAAGAAAGATGACCTTTCATTAGACTCATAATTCATTAATTATTTCTCCACCACCCATCTGTAAGCCAGTCCTATTGTCAGTTATATTGTATACCAGCACAACTCTTTAAGCATTCTTAATCCAAACCACGATAGAAAGATTGTCATTTATTTATGTTTTTTTCTTTGCCTTTCCAGATCTTTATTTGGAACTTATGTCAAAATAAATTTTGAGGATCCTGATTGTGGGTTTAGTTGAATTTAAGGTGTTTGAAATTTATGTTCTACTTCACAGTTTCAGTCCTGTAAGATTTCCCACTGGGAACTAACCAGAAAACCATTTCCATTTTATTTTTTTTTCTTTTTGAGGATCTTAAAAGTCATGTCAGAAAGATGAAATGACCATCAATAGTTCCCAAGGGGAATACTGGAAATAGAGGAGATTCATGAGCAGTTCTTAATGCATCAGCTTTTCCCACACATTCAAAACCCACATGAAAATTGGAACCTATGCAGTAAAAGCCCTTATGAGCTTGTGCACCACTTAAAAATTTAAACAGTTCTCTAATGGAAAAAGATAACCTATTAAAGGCAAGAGTGCCCATCTAACAATGTAATGTTCATTCTGCTCAGGCTGTTGGGCCTCTCCATTTTGCTATTAAAGTCCTTTCTGCTTTTTTTTTCTTTTGTGTAGCACCAACTGAGATGGAAGCCTAACAAAGGTGTTGTTTCCCAGGAGGTATCTCTGTTTTCTTGCTCTTCTGTACAGAGGGAACTGGGAGACACCCAGATATGACCACTAGGTAATGGGGATGAAATGCTGGCAGCGTGGCAAGATTAATGGGAGCTGATCCATTGGCATTTTCTTTCATAACTCTTCAGTCCTTTGTAATTTGTATATCCTGTTCCAACTTTCCGCTTTCAATGTGAGCAGCTCACCTCTTCAGTTTTTCCTCTGACTAGCATCACCCCAAGGCTACGGAACAACCACCATGAAGGAACTTCACTGGAAGGACAAAATCCACATTCTTCTTTACCCTGAGAATCCTCCGAAGGAATACTTTCATCCACAGCAAAGGGATACACTGCTACTAGAGAGTAGTTGCTGTAAGAGCAGCTCTCAGTCTGGTGAAACGTGGCTTGAGAGACAGCAGGAACATTCATCTCAGCTGAACATTCAGGGGAGTATTTCTATGTAAGCACATCCACCTTTCATTCTGGAGGCAGGCTGAGAGTTTACTTATGGTGAGCTAGTACGGCTCAGGTGATGAGTGACTCCGTCTTAGTGGAGAAGCAGCACAGGGCAACTGAGCTCACCCAAAATTTTGCTGCCACAGTTGAAAGAGGGAAGTACTACACCAACTACATCACATGCTGTCTTGCTTATCTTTCACCAGTTCTGATGCTTGCTGAGAACTCCTGAGAACTGATACAATCCAGTAATCCAGCAGCAAATTATCTCAGAAAAAGCAATTTAATTTTCTTCCAGGATAGGGGCAAGCTTGTAAAAAGTTTTACAAGCTGCAGAGTCAGCACATGATTGCACAGCTGAAAGCAAGAGCAAGAGCAGGGAGAACAAGGAGGAAGAGGATCTCTCCCCCTCAACAGATATTAACAGATATTAAGATTCAGACATTACATAAAACTTCATCTTTGGGATCACATGTTGTCTCCCATCACTGTGAAGTCATCCAAGCAGAGGAGTGACGATAAGTAAAATTCTTTGGAGTACTCTGACAGAAAAAGAAAAATGTGTGTGAATAGTGTTGTCCAAACATATATTTTTGTGGAAGAAAATTGCAGAGTGAGTATTTTAGTAAAGAGGATATTTTAATCCTTTCTGTTGTTTTTTTTTTCTTTTAATCTGCTTAACATTAATCACAAACAAACATTTGGCACAAAGTATTGCCTTGTTAATGATTCAGTACCTTGCTCCTTCTAGTGTCGGGAAGCACTGAAATTCAGCATTTACAGCCTGGGTAACAAATTGCTAAACACTAACTGGGAAAACTCCTAACCTTTCTAGTGAGGAACAGAAAAGAGAAAGGGAAGGGGAGAGGGAAAGGAAAGAGAAAGAGAAAGGAATACATCATTATACAGCACAAAAATAGATCACAAACTTCCTTCTTTTTTAGTTCTTTGCAGGTTCCTTTTCAAGTAAAAGACGTGACTTCTAAAAAGCTTGCAACAGCACTGCTTTGCACTTTTCATAAACACTCCTAAAAGTCATTAACTTCCATGTGGCCCATGGCCTTTGCCTTTGGGGAAGACATGAAATGGCTGTTCTCTGCTCTCAGAGCCAACCACCTTTCCCTGTAACCAGGCACAGTTGGGTGTTTACCCAGGAGCAGTGCCCACAGGGCTCCCCTTGTCAGTGCAACTGGTGAGGCATCAATGACCAACTGCTGCTACCACCACACCAACAAAGTCCTCAAAAGTCATCCCCAACCTGGGAAGCAGGCCTATGAGGGCAGAAATTGCATTGCCTAACAGTATACACCTCCCCATACTCAGGAAAAAATCATCACAGTAGCAGGTCAGAAACAGAGATGGGTAGCCAAAGTTTCTTTCTGCATACCTACTACGTGGATTTATATCATTGTATGATTTCCTCCTCTCAAGGACCAAGGACGAGCTATGCAGCAGCACACAAAGTGCCCAGGGTGGCCTGCAGGTATTTATTATTTACTGCAGTCTCAGGATGTCCATGCTAAAAGCAGCCTGGGGAAGCAGGCTATGCTTTATCCACCACATGACCCACTTTCCAGCAGCTCAGTCAAGCACTTCTGTCACCAGCGACAGGGCTGACTAATGTTCAGTGAAGTAGGTGATGAGTTATGTGGAACTAGCTTCCAGAGGAAATTAATTTTCAGAGAGAGGCTCTGGCTACTTGAACTTTGTTTTAAAAACCCTGTGTTTTATTGCAGTCTAAGTTAATGAAGAAAGGTAACTGCCACGCTGCTGCAGTGCCTGTGTTCTCTCTCAGCCACCTTTCTTCCAGCAGCAGAAGCAGCAGTGGAATGTGAACATCCACTGAAATAAGCTTCCGTTTACACTCATTTTACTGTTTCTCTTTCTACTGCCACATCTACTGCTCTACTATTACCATGAGAAATAATCAAACCTACTTTTAATACAATGCTGTTCATATGGCACCTCTGCCAAGACCATTCTTGAGCAGAGGAACAGATTGCAAAAAGTACCACATGCTCAGCCTTCTGCCTGGGAACTTAGGTAGGAGATAACATCTATGTAATGCTCAGCACTCCTCACAAGCACCCAATCTCCTAAAAAACTACTTTTTTATGGTTTTATTCTGCCAGACCTACCACAGTGAATGTCCCTCCAGGGTTTCCATCTCTGTGCACTGTACTTAACCTAGTCTTTGCATCATGGAAGATTTTGGAGGCCCTTAATTGAAACCTTAGTTCAGAGAGTAGGATAAAGGCAGTATTGAATGCATCGATCTGAAGAATGTGTTCTCCATACTACATATCCATTCTACAAAATTTACCCTAAAATTTAGGATAAGCTACTTTGTGGAACCTGTAAACAGCAAGTACTGCATTCACACCCAGGTAGGTTACTGCTTCTAATAGTACTGAGCTCAAACATCTCAGTTAAAACATCTATTGGTTCTCAACATGTTCAAAAGTATGACTTTCTACATTTCAGACATGTGGGATAATGTGGTAAAAATGCAAAAGAATCTTTTACTTTGGAGTGGCTGCTATTCCAACTGTTAATCTTAGCACAGAAAATCAAGCACACATATCTCTCTGCTCAGGATCCTTTGCATGAACATTGCTGGAAAACACACTTTGGTGGATTCGATCCTTTGCAGTATTTCCTCACCAAATGAATCAGAAAGCAACACGTGGGTTAAAGCAAAGACGTCACAAGATGGGACTTTGTTCTGGTATTTCATATTGTTATTTCAAACTAAAAAATGATGAAAAACATAAAGAACTTGAACGTGCTTTTGTTTGCAATTCTTTGAGGTCCCGTGTGTTTGCAAAGAATCTGGTAAAAGCACGTACAAATTGTAAAAAGAATTTTAAAAAGCAGTGCTCAAAAATAGCAGAAACTGAGACAGGTTTAGGCATATGCCTTAGCCTAGTCACAGGAAAGGAAAAAAGGGATCTCCCACTTACCTTTTAGTTGGTCCAGGAAATATAGATACAAGACTAACAACTTCTCAGTCTTTACCTATCTTTATCCTGATCCTTCATACAGTATTTTACATGGTTGGCTAGACACTATGAAGATGTCCCATGCACCTTCATTAGATGAAAAGCTTCTCAACAATGCAATGGCAGGGTTTCCTACAATAAAACTCAAATGTTCACCTGCTTTCCTTAATGTTTCGAGATCTTCTGATCAGTACTAAATTCAGCCATGTCTGATTCGTTGGAGTGCATGCCCAGCCTTCTCACCAGCACTTGCCATCCATAAGCATTCAAAATTAATGACTCAGTTTCTCATCAGACTGCTTTAGAAAAGGTTTTTTTAACAGTTATGAATTCTAAGGAGATTTATTTGTCTTCAGATTTTTGATGTTGGTGATTTTTGCTTCTAAAACTCTTCTAGGTAGTCTCTAACATAGTAATCTTACTTTTTAAAAACAGACACATGAAGGTCATGTGAAATATCATGACTCCAGAAGTTCGTGCTATATAATAAAAATAAATGCATGAAGCTTGATAGCTTTTTTCATTTGTTAGCTTCACAAACTTTGTATACAGTCTAGGGCAAATAGTCAGGACTAGAAAAAGGCAGTCCTTGTTTTTCTGGAGGGACAAGAGGCAGCAGCGGGGTGAGAGATCCCTGCCCTCAGGAGCAGGGAAAACAGCAAGAGCAGAATCGTGATTCTTCACATAG